AAAGAAAAAATCTGTGTAAAAAAAAAAAAAAAAAAGATGTTTAAAATTAAAAATTGAAAATTGAAATTGAAAATTGAGAAAATTGAGAAAATTGAGAAAATTGAGAAAATTGAGAAAATTGATGCAAAAAAAAAAAAAAACATGTACAAAATGTAAAACATGTACAGAATATAATAAAATAAAAAAATAATGTTTTTCTAGTCATCGTTATGATTAATAGGTTTATGACATCGATGACACGTGTCATTAGAAGAATTTTTTGTTGCTTTTACAACCTTAAAGATTTCACATTCTTCTATATCAAAATACATTTTAGAAGAATAAGGGGTATAAAAAGAAGGTAAATAAACACCAGTATTATATCTTAATATTAAACGTAAATCACCAAAACAAGGACCATCTTCAGATAAGAAATGACGATATAAAACATCGAATCTGGTCATGCGACAAAGTTTTATTGACTTTGAAGCATTATCCCGATAATCAAAAAAGAAAATGAAATTTTCACGAACATTTATTCCATCAGGTACATAAGTAGATTTCTTTTCAGTATGTAAACCATGAGGAACAAAACCACCAACCAAACACCTTTGACCAGCTAATTTAGCCACACAAAGAGTTGGACCGGCTTGATTACATTTTTCCGAATACTTATCAAAACCATCCTGAGAAGATCTAAATAAAAGTTCGAATCTGTACTTGAATTTTTGTTTGGAGTCATTTTGTTTTGAAGATAAATCTGAGATCCATTTTTTAAAATACATAGCATGTACATGATTAATAATGTTTGAATTTTTGAGACCTTGATGACTCTTTGGTTTATGACGATATTTTGTTAAATACCATTTGAGAGCGGTATTATCGATATCTTGAGGTAAAATTTTTTCAAAAGGCATAATTTTTGAATGAATATCATTTCTTGAAATTTCGGAAAATTGAATAAGAGGGATAAGATTTCTTAAAGATAATTTAAGTAAACCAAAATCATGGTCAGACCATTTCTTAACCAAGTCCTTATTAAGAGTAGGATTTTTACATAAAGCCCATCTTATAATGAGATCCCAACGAGTAACATGATCAAAGGCCAAATTTTGTTGACTAAGAAGACCTCTAAGAACATATTCTTCGATAGGGCTTAAATCTTGTATAGCCAATAACCATTGAGGATCGGAATTAATTTTTCTGACTAAATGGCGACGAAGTTTTCTGTAAGAGTCTATACCAAATATAGTGTTTAGAACAGGTATACAATCTTGATCAATCCAGAAATCCATAGAATCACCAATGTTGTCAGGTATATGATCTATAAGGTCATCAAGCATAAATTCGTCAGCAGCGCTAAATAGACCATAAACACCCTCAGCATCAAGATCATCCAGTTTGAGAACACCTATATACAAATATCTATGTGATAATAAAGAGATTGTAGTTAAGAAAATGACAGATAAAAAATTAATAAAAAAATAACAGATAAAAAATTAATAAAAAAATTCAAAAATATAAAACTAATACGAATATAATATATATATTTATAAATACCTGAGGATGATATCAAAAACTTGAGGGTTAACATTTGGTTTTTCGATAAAAAATTTATCACCATCTTTTCTTGCCCATTCATGAGAAAGAGCGATTCGAAAATAAGCGGAACGAGAATTTAATATTATAGAACCAGCTTTAAAATCTTTTACATTAGGTTCTTCACCGACACGAATGATAGTATCATAATTTTCACCACCATAATCACAAAGATTATCGTTGTTATTTAAAGAATTATTATTATTATTTAATAAAAAACCCAGATTATCATTATTATCAAGGAAACCTTGCTTTTCGTTGAAAATTTCAACCGAGTTCATAGAGGAAAAAGTAGTGGTAGCCATTTGTAAAAAGTAGTAAAAAGTAGTAAAAAGTAGTAAAAAGTTAAGTTACAATTGATAAGAAGATCATTTAAAAAAATTGACGAGGGAAAGCTATGCCTTATATGTGTTTAATAAAATACGTTGTGATACATATGCCTGGGAAAGGGAGGAAAAAAATTCACCCTCAAAAAAGTATATCAAAGTATATCAAAAAAAATATATCAAAAGTATACTACCCCGGTGGCGGAAAAAAAATTTTTTTTTTTTATA